GCGTGGCTGATGCTACCTGTAGCGCGGCCAATCGATGCGTCCCTCAGACATGCCCAGTAGCAGATCAGTGAGGTGGCTACGTGGCGCTGCATAGCAACGTGTGGCTCGTAAAAGCCCCAAGTCCAATAGCTGCATCAATACATGTACATCTTGCAGACGATCCTCATGCACGCTGATGTCTTCCTTTTCTCCTTCTTTCATGCTTCTCTATGATTTCCTCTTCTTTTTTTTCCGCTCATGAAGCAGCCTCCATCTTGAAACACAGAATCAGGCCACTTGAGCGAACCAATGGAACCTTCAGAGCATCCTGCCCCGTGGTCAGATTCTGCGTGAGAATCCCGGTCCCCCTTCAAATCCGAGGCCTAAAAGCACAGGGCATGTTCATGCGCATCGCATCGCGGCATCCACAGTAGCTCCATGCTAGCACTAAGATGCATTGAACGTAGCTCGTCATCCATAAGTGGCGGCTCTGCAGATATTCTACCTAAATCTCTATAAATGGCAATCTGATTCGCAGCTCGCGCATGTGATGTGCGCTCTGTTCTATATTTAAACGAACTGGAGCGTCGTCTGCATTGCATACAGGTAATCAAGAAAAAATATTGTGCTTGTAACAACAACCTCCGATACGCTACACAAGTAAAAGTGCCCTCAAACTCCACCACCCTATGAGAGGCGGCCAAAAGGTTTATTAGTGTGAGTCTTGCGTTACGGTTAAATTACTTCAAAATTTCAAGCGGGTCTCTCCCGTACCCGTCCGACAGGGAAGAAGGTTGGCGGCCTTGATTTTTTTAAATTGCGCTCTTGCTTTCCGTGTGCTACTCGCGCTCGATCGATGGCCGGTACATGGGATCGTCGGAACAAATCGCTCTGTTTGTTTTACGCGTTTCCAACAGCCGCCGCCAGCACGCGAAGTTTTGTATGAGTGGTTGATGCTAGCTGCATGTATCGATTTGCTGGGCGGAGCGCAAACAAGTCCGATATCACCAACAGAGGGACGGATGCTGCCCTGCTTCGTTCGTTCCCTACATACAGCATTGAGAAGGCAATTTTGCCCTGTAGCAAACAGACGAATCTGATCCACTTCGAAAATATTTTTCGCAGGGCCCATCTCATCTCATCTCATCGACCCAGCATCGGAGTTTGCCTGGTCGTATGCAAGAGGAAGCTGGTTGTCACACTGCTTTGCTAGCCATGCATACTACAACGCCATCCAAAACACAACTTCCGTCTTCTTAGATGCTTGGTACAGCATTGATAAATGTCTTGATAGAAATGCCAAGTTTCAGCATGAAAAAGACAACAGCTGGCTACAACAAAAAGAAAATGCTTGCTCACGGCAGGGCTTGAACCTGCGGCCTCCGCATTACCAAGATTTCACCACAAGGCAAAGTATTAGTACGAAGCTCTAACCAACTGAGCTACGCGAGCAGTCTAGATCCACTTTTCTATGCGATCTCATAGGCTGGAATCGTTGCTTCGAATGCAGCGAATTCTTAGTTAAGAACCTTCCTTGTCTGCACCTGGTGGAAGCGAATTGAACTTGCCGTAAAAAGTAAATCGGCCAGCTACGTATAGCAAACTCTACAACTCAATGAAGATCAACAAGAGAAAACGAAACTAAAGACAGAAGATAAAACGAAACAGCAAAAAAAGAAGCACCTCTGATGAGGTGTGGCGGATCTCTCCCGCCGGGAATTGAACCCGGGTCTCAAGCGTGACAAGCTTGCATACTGACCACTATACTACGGAAGATGTACCAGGCGTTGAGCACCTGGGGTAGCGGATCACGTGTTGGAAACTACGGACTTAATGATAGCTATGAAACGTTTCCACCATTTCATTAAACATGAGCAGAGTTTTTAAAGGAATAGAAAATCGCAGAGCTTTCCCTATCCGATTGTCTCCAAGGAATTGAATCATAACGGCTGCCACTGCTCGTCGGACTTCCTTTTAATACTGACCTTTGCTTTATCATTTTAAAAATTAGTTCTTTACTCAGGCTGGACATACAACAGATCTTTTTTTTCCAGTGGTCAAACGCTCCAGGGTAGACTAACTGGATCTATATACAGTCCGAATACATCGCCAGGTCAATAGATCGAGTCAACCGCTACGGAATGGGAAAATAGTGCGATATATGTGGTCATTACATAGGTAGTACTATAAAGATTAAAGTTTTTGATGTAAATAGAGAAGTCGTTTATTTGCTGATCAATGGCATCACAGTGTACATCTACATATAGGTTTCATACAGCAAGACAACCAATATGGACTGGTACTGACATTTTGCGGCTATGTATGCTTCTCAATGATATCTGAAACGAACTTGTGCGAAATCCACCATGAGACCGACCAGAGAAGCAGATCGCTGTTTAGTATTATAGGGGTTTGTTTCATTAAATACATAGTGCTTGTCGCCACTATCGCCTGTATGGACTAGCGATCTGGCGAGAAATGAACAAGGTTGACGGCTGAGATGACCAGCTAGATGAGATTTGAGTTATCGAAGAAGCCGTCGAGAAGACTAAAACTTAAATTCAGCTTCTGGTATTGAGGAGAACCTTGATGGCAATTCTGCCACCACATTCTACAAAGCGAGGTGAGAGGCATCCGGGTTAATGGCTCGAGAGTAGGATTATTGCCTGCAACTACACTTGAGAGTGCATTACCACTACGGAGGATAATTAAAGGTGACCTTGGAAAAGACACAATGATGCCAATGTATATTTTCATCGACAAGCTGCAACTGAACTTAGATAAATAAGCTCGTGCTTTGTCTATGATCGGGCATGGGTTGAATCCTGCCAGATATCAATACGATCTGAGAATCTTGATACGTGACCTGTCTAGAGGGAGAGTCAAGACTGAAGCTATGCAGGTTCGATAGAATTCGCCGAGACGAGATCTGCATCCTCTATGGGCAGGATCGGGTTCTATGGCCTCTCCTAGAGTACCGTACCATCGCAGTGGTAGTAAAAGGTGAAATTATTGCTATTTACTCTTATATGGTCGATGATTATATCTCCAACTTGATATTGGGGAGATGGACAAGGAGCTGGCAGCGAATGTAGTCACCATGACAAGACGACTATCGTCGTTTGCAAGCAATGCAAAAGCAATTTCTCAGCTGGAAAGGGGAAGAACGAATCATAGAGAGAAAATAATTCTTCATAAATAATATTGTATTGTAATTAGTTAGTTTTTTTTTTTTTTGGGTTCGCGTCCATGGTCGTTGTGGTGCCCGAGCCATCAGCCCCGGACCTCTTCCGGGATCGTGAATCGGCCCCGGCCCGGAGTCGGGATCGTGAACTACGGCACTCTGACCTCCACTAAGAAGCTAGGCTCGGGACCAATATATAGAAGTGCACACTGATAACGGCTTGATTTCCACTATGCGGCCCGAAGCGAACGGTTTACGAGATGATAAGATGTATGTACACGAAGTCTATATGCTGGATGCGTTTGGCATCCTTCAATCGCTGCTCTACAGAAGTTTGGAGCAGCAGCCCTTGGAGCTCTTGTACTAGATCGAGCAGCCACTGAAGCAAAGCGAACAATACCGACTTCGTATTGATCTCTTGTAACCGAACAAACTCAGGGTCCCGTGTTCCCCCGCACTGGACTGCCGTGCCGCTATTGTTGCCATTGGGCGGTCTGATGCCATTGAGGATACGCGGAGTTCAATGCTCCTACAAACCTGCTGCGGACTGCGCTTCGCCCGCCTAATCTGAGAAGATCTGCGCAGGAACCTTGGCCAGGGCCGTCGTCTGACGTCGGGGTCCCCCCACAGCTGAGATTGAACAGATTTGGTTGTTCAAATGTTTGCATGTGAGTTGCTTGCCCTAGACGGCCGGCGTGGCTCAGGCGCCGTTGGGAGCTGACGATCACTGGGGGCGGGATGATATTTAGAGCGCCAATCATACGAAGCGCGGGCAAATAAGGAGATGGGGACAATGGCAGGTGATGAAGCTGTGCTGATTGTGTAACGTATAGCTAGCCGTAGATGTGGCCTGCGTGGCATTTAGCATCTGCATGCATCTAGATTCTTTGACTGCACGTTTCAATTTGGAGATTTCGAGATGCAGATTCGTAGTTTTCGGGCATGTTTACAGTGACTGTCGCCGCGCAGTGGTGAGACGCGGCATCCCCTGAGAGGCGCATTATCTGCGGATCTAACGGGTGCGAGGCGCTGTAGATTAGGGAGGTCGCCATCTCGGGCTTCCCTGAGCCAGTCGCAATCAATGGAACTGGACTTGGCGATCTGTCCATCCATCAGCTTCCAGTCTCTTTCTCCTAATTCCTTTTTCCCTCTTGCAACCTCCCACACTCTTTCTTCCCTCGAAAACGACACTCAACCCGCCGTCTTTTCATCTTTCGCTCTTTTCGTGTGATCTGCCTCTCCAGTGATCGCCTCTTATTCAGCAGCAACCCACGCCACGCTGCACGCGCGCCACCACTTTGACGGGCTTGCATCCAAGTTTTTCTCTCTTTTCCCCCATCTCCACCTTTTTTCGCTGTCTTCGTCTTGCTAGGCCTCCTTTGGTCCCGTTTCGTTGTCTCTCTCGCCCTCTGAGCTGAGACTTGTAGCAAGACTCTCTTATCTTTCTTTATTCCCTTTCTTCTTCCGACCATCCAATCCAATCCAGGCCCCTTGTTTGCTCGCCAAAAACTTGTCCTGCCAGCTCCCTAAACAGAAAAGGCACCACCACCCCTCCCTCTGCAGAAGCGCCCTCGCATCTCGCTCCATCGTGGTGCATTCACTCACACTCCACCCGCACTACTGCCGTCCAGCCGGCCTAAAACGGCCCCCCAGTGACGTATCGTGAGGCTCGTGGATCACGGCCTTGGGGTCATCTGTGTCGTTCCACGCTGGACGCATTGCCGCATCGCCGGACCGGATCTGTACATGCACCGAGACATTGTCGCGCCTCGTTCTCTGCCGCCTTTTTGGCCGTACCGCTGCTGCATTGATCTTGTACCTCTGCCGGTGTCCCCAGCGCCGAGCTGCCAAGGCCTTCCAAGGTGCTTCACGCCGCTCGATTGGCCCCAGCAAGGCCCAGGCTGTCTTTGTCACCCGACCACCGACCAGCAACAACAACCTCATCTGCTCCCTGCGAGGTTGCGTCTCTCTCTCCGCCTGTGAGATCCGTCGCGCCCATCCCGGCGTCTTAAACCCAAGAGTCTGCAGGCGGGTGCTGCTGCTGATCAGCCCCCATAACCACCCAACATTCCTCCCCAAAAGTCAACCCGCCTCCCTTCCAACATCCCTCTGCGGACACTGCCCTCGCGCTCCAACGTCGACCAAGACTTCGACCAAGACTCACCATCGGCGTCCCTCCTCTCTGCCAGGGGATACGGCGCCCCTCACCAGCTTCGCCCGTCGTCCGAGTCCGAGACATCGTCCTGGACCGACACTGGCGACATTGGCGACCAGATCGGCGACGAGCACGACCCGGTCCGCATCCAGCTGCCGGAAGACATTGAGAACGAGCTACTCGCCGGAGTCCAGCGCCGACAGCTGAACAACCAGCTTTACAAGTCACACGGCAAAAAGGTCCGGATTCACGATCCGTCGCCGCATCGGCGCAACCACTCCTTCTCGCCGTCTCCCGGCATCGACAAAGAGGCCATTGAGCCCCCCGACGCCCGGCCTCGACCACCCAATCGAGCAGAACGCTGCATCGGCGCCATCATGGCGGGATCCTCGGGCTCTATTCATGGCCTCACAGGCAAGGCCTTGCTGTACGATTTTTCTATATTCCTTGTCTTGGCTACGGCTTCACAACGAGAGTACAACCATTCTAACATTTTTTTCTTGGCAATAGGTACTTTACAAGTATATTCGTCTCACTAGGCGTTTTCCTTTTCGGATATGATCAGGGTGTCATGTCGGGCATCATCACGTAAGACTTCAATCTCTAACCTATATTGCAGCACATTGCAGCACAAAATTAACATGCAGTCTTCCAGCGGCCCATATTTCATCGACTACTTTAATCACCCGTCCAAGGCCGAGGTCGGGACAATGGTTGCTATTCTCGAAATAGGAGCCTTTATCTCGTCTCTTGTTGTTGGTCGTGTTGGCGACATCATCGGCCGGCGACGAACTATCTTATATGGTTCTTGCATTTTCTTCGTCGGAGGAGCGTTGCAGACGCTCGCCACGTCCATGTCGATGATGATGGTTGGGCGAATAGTCGCTGGTCTTGGTGTCGGCATGCTTTCAACCATTGTCCCTGTCTACCAGTCCGAGATTTCTCCGCCTCACAATCGCGGTAAACTTGCTTGTATCGAGTTTTCTGGCAATATCATTGGATACACGACTTCCGTATGGGTGGACTACGGCTGTGGGTTCATCGAGAGCAACTTGTCATGGCGCATTCCTCTTATGATGCAATGTATCATGGGAGCACTTTTAGGGCTGGGAAGCTTGATCATTGTGGAATCACCTAGGTATGGAACCATAAACCCCTTTGTATGCACGTCCATGAGACACTAACCGTTGTATTCTTCAGATGGCTCCTGGACAATGATCATGATGAAGAAGGCATGGTCGTCATTGCTAACCTTTATGGCGGCGGCGATATTCACAATGCCAAGGCGCGCGACGAGTATCGCGAGATCAAAATGGACGTCCTTCTTCAGCGCCAAGAGGGTGAGAGATCGTATTCTGACATGTTCCGCCGATATCGCACTCGAGTGTTCATCGCAATGTCTGCGCAGGGTCTTGCGCAGCTCAACGGAATCAACGTCATTTCATACTACGCTCCATACGTCTTTGAATCTGCTGGTTGGGTTGGCCACGATGCCGTTCTCATGACTGGCTTCAACGGCATCACGTACTTCCTCTCTACCATTCCGCCCTGGTATCTTGTAGATCGATGGGGTCGACGAATGATTCTTCTCACTGGTGCCGTCCTCATGGCCATCTCACTGTCTCTCATCTCGTACTTCCTCTATCTTGATATCAAATGGACTCCTAGGCTGGTCGTTCTGTTTGTCATGATATACAATGCTGCCTTTGGCTACTCATGGGGACCTATCCCCTGGCTCTACCCCCCCGAAATCCTGCCTCTTAGCATTCGCTCCAAGGGTGCCAGCTTGTCGACTGCCACGAACTGGGCCTTCAACTGGCTCGTTGGAGAAATGACACCAATTCTGCAAGAGTGGATCAAATGGCGCTTGTATCTCGTCCATGCCTTCTTTTGTGTTGCTAGTTTTATCATTGGTAAGTCACTCGCGTTGATTATGACTTCCATGTCCCTTCTTAAGCCTTTGACTGGTAGCTAACCTCATCTTTCTAGTCTACTTTGTCTACCCAGAGACCTGCGGTGTCCGCCTCGAAGAAATGGACTCGCTATTCGGAGACGCCAGCACTGTGGCTACCCCGTCTATCCATGCAGAAACTGGCTCACTCATCCGAGGCGGATCGCCCATTGGATCCAGCCGTACGCCATTTCGCTCAACTACACCCATCCCAGGGCTCACCCTTGACCCTCCCGATGGCAATGACAGCAAACCTAGCCAGGGTGGTGGCGGCGACGACCGGAGCATTAGTGGATGGTTATCAAGAGTCGTTAACCGCGGCCGTTCGGGCAGTTCGAGTAGCGGTCAAGGGCGGTACGCTCCAATTGGCCAAGAAGACGAGGGTCGCAACGACAACTAACGTGGGGTCGCCATTTTTATCTTTTTTTGGAGTACCTCTATAGATCTTTTCTTTTCTTTTAAATTTTCTTTCTTGGACACATAGATAGCGGAGCGAAGCATGTATGCCGTGCTTGTCGTTCTATTAGGTATAGAACTCGGGCCTAGAACTCCTTGCTAGCATAAGACGGCTGGTTTGGTTGGTATATAAGATGGACATTAGCTGCATAGACTGTACCTATGCTGAAGAAGAGAGCAACAAGAATAACAGTTTGCAAGATAAAGGGCAGTATTAGCCTTTGGGAATCTTCGAAGCCGATTCGGAGAAGATTTGAGCGCTGTTTAGACAAGAGATGGTTTGAACAGCCTCTGTTCTGAAACTGCAGTTATTGATGAAAAAGATTATCTGTATTGTTGATGAATAGTTGGTAATAGCGATATTGTGGGCAGCATTCAAGCGGTCGCTTCTTTTTTTTTTTTGAATATCTTTCTCTTGTGAACATATTTAATTGTCGTCAGGACAAGGGTGCTCCGTGCATGAAGCGTTCGAAATGCACAGTGTGAATACAGTACGGCGCTCAATTTTATCGACGATATTTCGCATCATAGGTAGTTCATATACCTTCTTTTATACACCCGCCAAGCTCTATATACAAGGCCTCATAGACACGAGCCATGAGGACCGAACCCATCGCAAACTCAATACACACGCCATGACAACCGCAGCACCCTCCAAACTAGACGTAACCCACGCTTACCGGCACCTCTACCGGGGCCTCCTCCGCGCCGTGCAGTACTCGGCGCCGGCGCGATACGTGGCGCGGGACCAGCTCCGGGCGGCGTTCCGGGAGCGCAATGCGGCGCTGGATCGCGAGGGCGTGAAGAGGACGGTGTGGTTTCTGGAGGCGGCGGCCAAGGAGAGGGGCCTGGAGCATAAGATTTTGAAGAACTTGATCAGGGTGCGGCTGGATCGGGCGTGGGGAACAAGGGCTTGGAAGAGGGCTTTGAATGAGACGAAGATGAAGTGAGTTTTTGATTCTTATTTTTCTATTTCAATTTCCTTTTGATTTAGCTTTGATTTATTTGGCTTTGTCGATGGAGGTGAAGAGCTTTGAGACGGGAGTTGATGCTGATGAGATTTACAGGCCTGATGCGAGACAGCTACGAGAGGATGCGATGCAGCATTATAATATGACTATTGCGATGCTGAATAAGAGCATGGGGCTTTGTTTACGATGAGCAGCACTGGGAGTCAAGAATCCTGCTTTGAGAAATAAGAAAGAAGGCTGATGGTTGTTGAATAATACATGAACCACTTAACACATGAACCGGCAAATTTAATCTGACCAATTCGCAAAAATTAGAAAAGGCCACCAGGCCATGAGTATTTTGCTTATATTTAGTATTACAGAGTGACAAAAATCACTTGCTCTCCTTTCTTCATCGCTGGTCATCTACTATTGTCGCATTCTCTTTCCTACATGCCCCGTTAACTCCATGCCAAACATTGCCAATGCCAGCCCTGCCAGCCCTCTTCAGCTATCCGGCTCACAGATCCACTTCGATCTCCTTGTGTATAAGCTCGTCCAAGCTCGATCCATCCCGTGCGTATATCCACGTCCCAAGTGCCGTACCTTCCTTGTCTCCCTGCCCCTCGCTGGCAACGCAGAAGTCGTATCGTTTGGGGCCGGACAGAGGCGATGAGAGCCAGATCTGCTTGTTGGGGGGCTGCTTGTTAATCACGTAGGTGCCCTTGTTGGCTACGGTCACGGTCATGACGCCGGACTTTGTGTTGGAAAACTGGTTAGTAAAATGTGGTTGGATAAGAGTAAGATGAAGATGTGACTAAACTGAATATTCCACATCAACTGGGGAGCCGTCGTCCTGGAGAGTCTCAAATTTCTCCAGGAGGTCGTGTAGATATTCGTTGGAGAGGTCGTGGTACTCCTCGTCGGAGAGCTCAGCGGCAACAAACGTGATCTGATTTCCGGTAGGCGCCTTGTCCGGGTTGGAAGTATCCGGCATGATGCCCTTGCGCAACATCACTTGCGCCGAGAATTGCCGTCGCTGCGAAGAAATTGAGGGCGTGGCTGCGCGGCAGATGCTGGGAAGAGCGCGGAAGCTTGAGGCCGCCATCTTGGGGTTGCGCATTGCTCGGCCAAGCAGGCGAGGGGCCTGTCTCGAGATGCTTGATGATGCCATATTGGTGGTTGGTGGGGGAGAGAGAGAAAGTCGTGAATGCTGAAGTATCAAATGCGCATTCGGAGGTTGAAAAGCTGCGATGGTTCCTGGGATGCAAAATATGCTCTAGCTGGTCAATTGCTTCGCAAGTGTGGCAGAATATGCGAGGGGGAAAAAAGAGAGAAGTGCTGAAGAAGCTTTGAGCTCTAAGATCTTTTGGGTGGTGGAAGCCAATTGGAACAAGCTGAAAAGGTTCGTCATAGCTTGTACCCCATACTTGGGGCTCGGCATCTGCTCAGCAACCTGGACTTGGAGGTACCTCTGTGGCCCCTCTAGTTGTATGTACTTCTAAGTAAAGCCAAGTTCATTTTGCTTAGTCACTTCTTTTCGGCAGCGTCACTTGGAGCTGCAGAACACCCGTCACCTGTATCGGCCCCACCGTCAGTACTCTCTTCCATCACCATCTCGCCAAAAGGTCTCTGGGCGATGATGAGCCTCGTTCCGCGGCCATGATTAACGCGTTTTTGGTCTTCAATGGCCAGGGCCAGCCTAGGCTTACCAAATTCTACACCCAGCTGGTACGTTGCGAACACGTTAACTCCAGCGAAGCTCGAACCGAATCACTGACTCAGCATCCGTCTTATCACAGGACACCAGCATTCAGCAGCGCCTGATATCGGAGATATTCACGCTCGTGTCGAACCGGCCGTCGGGTTCTTGCAACTTTCTGCCTCTGCCTCCTCTTCTCGCCGCCTCCAGCACATCGCACAGCTCAACCGAAGAGCAAAACGATGTCCCCTCGTTGGTGACATACCGCAACTACGCCACTCTCTACTTCATCATCATCTCTACCGCCACCGAATCTCCCCTTGCCTTGATCGACCTAATACAGGTGTACGTCGAGGCGCTCGATAAGCTTTTTGAGAACGTCTGCGAGCTTGATCTCATCTTCAACTTTGAAACGCTGCATGCGACCTTGTCGGAAATGATTATAGGAGGAGTCGTGATAGAGACGAGTCTCGATCGCATTGTTTCTGGTGTCAGAGCCCAGGGAACAGTCGCCAAACGGCCGGTGAATGAGGGACGAAGCACTATTGGATCAGGAATGGGCCTTGGAGGCAACTTTGCATGGACAGGAAGGGTATAATAATGACACTTGCAGGCTTGAACTGAGCTTGAAGAGACGGGTCGGATAGAACTATGAACTATAACCAGCATATGCATACATTTCTTCGTCTTCTCTTTTGCCCAATACGGGTATCACACCAAAACGCCTTGGCTATATACAAAATACTATATTACACATACCCAGTGGCGGGTATCTTTATCCTACAATTATTTCGAATCTGAGCCTCGCGACGGGTTCACTTCCGGCGCATCTTTCCGGCGCTCGTATCTCTTTTCGGGGTCTAGCACGCCAAAGAGATTGATCGCGTGTTTCCGTAGCTAAGCATTCGTGTAAGTGCACTGAAAATGATTCTGTGTAAGCGAAAATTTTGACAAACCTCCTCTGATGGCTTATACTTTTGTCCCCACCACTCAAACTCAGAAAAGAATACAAGCCATACCATCGCCGCTATTTAGAGAGTTAGTCTCAGACATGTTATGTGCCATACACTCCTTGTGAGCAAAACATAGACTCACCAGCCATTGTGGCAAGCTGCGCATACTTGACGCCCTTATCCCATCTGGGTGATCGACTTGCGAGGGTGACGCGACGCTTGTACTTCTTCTCAAACCGGAGTTGTTGCTGATGAGTCAAGTCTTTGAAGTCAGGTGGCCATACCTTTCGAGCCTTGTGAGGATTGTTGGCGAGACTGAACGGAACTTGTTTTGGAAGAGACTCCTTCGCGGATTGAGCCGCTCGTCTGATGAGGGTTGGAAACATTGTCAAGCGATATGCCTCAGCAAAGATGGTTCGATTTACCAATCAATATCGAAGGTGTTTTGACATATCAGATCGTTGAATGACGCTGTTTTGGAGCTAGCAAAAGCTGCGTACCAAGGCACTACTAACGGTCAAATGCCTACAAAAGCCGGGGCAGCCACTGCACCGCCTCATGGCAGCGCCACAGTTCCTGGCCGAAAAAAAGTTGCCCCGCGATAGGTCCTTTTTCACCCCTCCGAAACTGAACCCCCGCCAAATAATCCTGACCTGCTGCAAGTGAGTCAAACCCACGGAGAAAATACCAAATCGTATCTTCTCTGTGCGAGTGAGTCAACAAGAAGGGGGCAGAGCCGCGGAAGAATCATAAAGATAGCCAATCCTCCTGAGGCTAATCTTTCGACCCCAATAACACTTCGATTTTTTCCATCTTGACACCAAGAAGAACGCAATATGGCGGCGGCTTCCGTGTCAAAGGCCATGGAGGGCCTGGCAGTCTCCAAGACCAAGGAATTGAAAGGAGTATGTGGTTATATAAATTTCATACTCTCCTGTTGATCGCATCTACTGACCACTACCAGACTGAGAAGCGCGACACTCTGATTGTCGTCGAGAAGAAATATCAGAAGAAATGGGCCGAGGACGGCGTTTTCGAGACGAATGCCCCGACGACGACCGAGGTGCCCTTCCACTCCATCTCCCCGGCCGAGCTGCGGGAAAAGCAACCCAAATTCTTCGGCACCATGGCTTATCCTTACATGAACGGCACTCTTCACGCCGGCCACACCTTCTCAGCCACCAAGGTCGAGTTTGCCGCGGGCACGGCGAGAATGCAGGGCAAGCGTGCGCTGTTCCCCATGGGCTTCCACTGCACTGGTATGCCCATCAAGGCTTGCGCCGATAAGCTGGTCAACGAGATCAAGCTGTTTGGTGAGGACTTTTCTGGCTACAAGGAGGAAGAGACTGTTGTCGAGGAGCAGCCAAAGCCTGCTGCCAAGCAGACCAAGGAGGATGTGACCAAGTTCACCACCAATAAGAGCAAGGCCAATGCCAAGACCGTCAAGATGAAGTACCAATTCCAGATCATGCAGGCCATTGGAATTCCTACCGAGGAGATCCACCTGTTCGCCGATTCTCAGTACTGGCTGAAGTACTTCCCTCCCCTGGCCATCAGAGACTTAACGAGCTTCGGCTCAAGAATCGACTGGCGACGATCATTCGTCACAACCGACGCCAACCCTTACTACGACGCCTTCATCCGATGGCAGATGAACCGCTTGAAGGAGCTGAACAAGATCAAGTTTGGCAAGCGATATACAATCTACTCTATCAAGGATGGCCAGCCGTGTATGGACCACGACCGTTCGGAGGGTGAAGCTGTGAACCCTCAGGAATACACTGCTCTGAAGCTCAAGGTTTTGGAGTGGGCTCCCAAGGCTGCTGAGGCTATCAAGGGCAAGATCCCTGATGGCGCCAACGTCTTCTTAGTTCCTGCTACTCTGAGACCCGAGACCATGTACGGACAAACCTGCTGTTTCGTCGGCCCCAAGTTGAATTACGGCCTGTTCAAGGTTGATGACAACAACTACTTTGTCATCACTGAGCGAGCCGCTCGTAACATGGCTTACCAGGGCATCTTCTCCAAGGAAGGCTCTATCGAGAAGGCTGCTGACCTTGTGGGCTCTGACATTGTTGGAACTCTGATCAACGCCCCTCTGTCGCTGCACAAGGAGGGAGTCAGGGTTCTGCCCATGGAAACCGTCCTGCCCACCAAAGGTACCGGTGTCGTCACCTCTGTCCCATCAGACAGCCCTGATGATTTCGCAACCGTGACTGAGCTGGCAAAGAAGGCTGATTACTACGGAATCAAGAAGGAGTGGGCCGAGCTGGAGATTTTCCCCATCATTGAAACCCCATCCTACGGAGACCTGTGCGCACCCTTCTTGGTCAAGAAGCTAAAGATTGCTTCACCCAAGGATACTAAGCAGCTGGAAGAGGCCAAAGAACTGGCATACAAGGAAGGTTTCTACCAGGGTATTATCAAAGTTGGCGACTTCAAGGGCGAGAAGGTCGAGACGGCCAAGCCCAAGGTTAGGGCTCAGTTGTTCGAGGCTGGCGAGGCTTTTGCCTACTCAGAACCCGAGCGCAAGGTTGTCAGCCGATCTGGCGATGACTGCATTGTCTCACTGATGGACCAGTGGTACCTGGACTACGGTGAGCAGTCCTGGAGGGAGACTGCCCTGAAATGGGTTGACAATGCCGATGGAAAGGGCTTGGAGACTTGGGCCCCTGAGACCAAGAACGGCTTCGAGGGTGTGCTGAACTGGCTGAACCAGTGGGCTTGTGCTCGATCATTCGGCCTGGGATCAAAACTGCCTTGGGATAAGCAATTCCTGGTTGAGAGTTTGAGTGACTCGACCATTTACATGGCTTACTATACCGTTGCCCACTTCCTGCACAAGGACTTGTTCGGTCGCACCAAGGGCATTGGCAACGTTGGCGCTGAGCAGATGACCGACGAGGTTTGGGATGCCATTTTCTGCCGCCGCGATATCACAGATGATGTTGTTTCCAGCTCGGGCATCCCCCGGGAGACTTTGGAGAGCATGCGACGAGAGTTCGAATACTTCTACCCCCTTGATCTGCGCAGTTCCGGAAAGGACTTGATCCCCAACCACTTGACATTCTTCCTATACATCCACTTGGCTATCTTCCCGCCGGAATACTGGCCCCGTGGTGTCCGAGCCAATGGTCATCTGATGCTGAACGGAGAGAAGATGGCCAAAAGCACTGGCAACTTCATGACTTTGAAAGAAATGGTGGAGAAATACGGCGCTGATGCTTCTCGTATTGCTCTGGCCGATGCTGGTGATGGTGTCAGCGATGCCAACTTTGAGGAAGACGTTGCCGATAACAACATTCTGCGTCTGTTCACTCTGCGTGAGTGGTGCGAGGAGATGGTCAAGGATCAAAACGAGCTGCGCACCGGCGAGATCAACAACTTCCAGGACGGCTTGTTCAACAATGAGCTGAATGCATGCGCTAGGGAAGCTATTGAGCAGTACAGCCTGACCAACTACAAGCTGGCCCTGAAGGCATCTCTGTATGAGCTGACCAGTGCTCGTGACTTTTACCGTGAGGCTTGTGCGGCCGGCGGTATCAAGATGCACAAGGACCTGGTATTCCGATACATTGAGCTGCAAGCCCTGCTGATGGCTGTCATCGCCCCTCACTGGTCAGAATACATCTGGTTGGAAGTCTTGAAGAAGGACTCCACTATCCACAATGCCAGGTTCCCTGAAGTGCCGGCTGTCGACGCTGCCCTGTCAGCTAAGCGAGAGTACGTCCGAAGCACCGCTTCGAACATCAACTCAGCTGAGGGCCAGCAGTTAAAGAAGAAGGCTAAGGGCAAGGAAATCGCCTTTGACCCCAAGAAGCCCAAGAAGTTGACCATTTACATGGCTGCCAGATTCCCAGCCTGGCAAGCCAAGTACATTGATCTGCTGAAGGAGATGTGGAACCCCGCGACCAAGTCCGTCGACGATAAGGCATTGAATGGCAAGATTGGCAAGTTGGGCGAGATGAAGAAGGCCATGCCCTTTGTTCAGGGCCTGAAGAAGCGCCTGCAGGCCGGCGAACCTGCCAGCGTCGTCCTGGAGCAGAAGCTGGCTTTCGATGAGAAGGAGACGTTGATCCAGATGGTGCCCGGCCTGAAGCGAACGTCTGGTCTGTCAGTCGCCGAGATCCTGGTGGTTGAGGAAGGCGGTAAGAAGGGCGTTAGACTGGAGGACGGTAAGGAGGTGGAAATCTCAGTCCCTGTTGCCGAGAATGCGGTCCCTGGTCAGCCTACTTTCTTCTTTGAGAATGTGGAGGCTTAAAACTTGAGGACCCAGATTAAGATTTTTTTTTTCAATGTTGCTACGAAAAGAAAGAATAAAGTAAAAAGTGCTCTAGAGAGAGACAGTTTAGAGAGAATACAACGAATTTTCGATTAACTTGGTTTTGATACTCTCTACATGCTGTTTTGCGTGCTGTCGGCTTCTTGCGGTGTGAATATGCTCGGCTTAATTATTTACTTACTGGTATGATAGCCGCCGATCACTAATAATTAGGACACTCCATCAAGGTTGACATTACTGCTACAGCACAACAGAGCGTTCAACGGTAAGAGATAACGAGTACCCTTACCGTTCACCGTACATCATTCACTGACTTTGCAGTTGTTAATACGGTGTGTGTAAAGCTAGATATCCGACTATGGATGGATGGCAAAATCCCCAAAACGCCATCTTTCTAGAAACGCCGAACGAATTTAGGTCAATAACGATGAGGCGTTTCTCCAACATAAAAAAGGCCGTCGGCAATTGACCGCGCGTGTCGTGTGGAGAGAGACAAAGCGTGCTCCTCAGGAGGTGCCGCTTCTTTGGTTAAGCGACGCCACCCCTTTCTAACCCCCTTCTTCCCTAGTCAAAAAGCTTGTGCTTTTTGTTTTAACGAAAGAGGGAATAAAGTGTAAAAAGGAAGAAAATAAATATTCGATCTACAGTATTTTGCATTAATATTTCGGAAAATGGATTTCCCCAGCAGCCAGCAGCCAGTAACAAACTGGTAGTTGCACGAGGGCAAACGCACTAGGAGCCTCGGTCTGTCTATGTGTAGGTACAGGAGTCGTACTGGTACATTGTCGGTTCTCTCCGTGGGCCGTTACAGTTTTGCTGTGCCTGCATGGTGGGTTTGTCCTATTAGCCCATTCTATCAATACCATGCTTATACCTATTGTGACGGCTTTGTAAGGGAACGTGTTCATCATATACCTTCTTCGTTTAATAAGCTTAAAAATGCGATCGGCAGCAAATCAAAGAGCTGTTGTTATTGGACATGCCTTGTCAGTTATTCGGTGCCATTCGGCAAGTTTGCTCTTCAGAGCACACAACACCGTGTGCTCAACTCAGCCCAAGACTCGAGCGGGCAATTCCTGAGTCGTCGCCATATCCATTGTGGGCTGCAACAGCGCAGAGGAGGCTCCACAGCCGCGCAAAGCAGTGGTACGGCAGCCGATGCCTGTGCTCACGTCTCGATGTGTGATGAATCCTTACTGTAGACAGCATCCTACTGCCTTGTCTAGGAGTGTGCCCCCGTGTAGCCCCCTCTGAGAAACGGATCCCATCACATTGTCCTAGGCCGTTCTGAGCATCCTTGGTGGACATGGGCTGGGGCATGCTTGTCCAAGCCTGTTTTGGCGTGGAAACAGAGAAACATCTCCCCACGGGCCTGTAGCTATTCTGCATTGACACATCTCCGGCGGCGGCTCAGGAAGAACATTGCGGCTCGCTTGCCTGGCAAGCGAAGTGGTTGCAATTCCATGGCCCGCAACGAAGGTGGTTCTTTTGCCGGCTCAGGGGCTAAGTCCAAGCGTCTCTCAATGTGGACCTCTTATAGATAGCACTAGTTTTTTTTTCTCTTCTCATTTTTTCCCGCGTTGCCTTTCGCTAGATCTGTGAGGCTAGATTTCCGTAGTGAGAGATTGGCTGCTCTTTAGTAGGTATACCGCTTGTTGGTGGCAAGACGGATGTCGGTGTCGGTGTGTCCTTGCGTCAAGCTGGTTTGCCATTTACACGGCGAGCACTTTTGTGTGGCGGTAGACTTCATAGTCCCTCCCACGCAGTAAAACCGTCGTGGCACTAATGCTGAGGCGGCAGTCGATCGTTTGTGTGTGCTCCATCGAGTTTTATGACGCAACGGGATGAAGCTGCGCAGCCTCCTGCGCTCCCATTTGCGAATAGTCTAACTTGGAGGCCATTTCATGACAAGGCCTTGGACGCCATTCGTCCACGCTGTCAGCTGGCCGCTCCTGGATGGATCGTCTATGGGTCGTCGACGCGCAACTAGCATGAAGCATCCTGGCCCCTGCGACATTAAGCAGCTAGACCAAGCCACTTTTGGCGGCCAAATTGGAGCCTCGCTGGTCGCAATTCGCGGGTCTGGGTGTAATTAGATTGTGGTAGCTCCTTGTCGCAATACTTGCAGAGCACAAGGCGGTACTGTTATATGTCGCCTTGTCCGCGACGAACAAGAAGCAGCCTTCTCTCCACGATGCGCGAGCCCTCGTCCCTTTCTTCTAGTTAAAAGAGCGCGAGCCGCAGCCGCAGTTGTCTCCTGTCACAGTTTCCTGGTTGAGCAATCGCTTCGCCCTTGTCTTGTATGGCTCTGTCGGCGTTATAGTCCTTGCTTCACTTTTTCTTTGCCATCAGCCTGGTGCTGTCTTGCGATCTCGGATCCATATTCTATCTCCGCATACCTGTACATTTTGCCAAGATTTGGGCATCTCGATCCCGAAAGTCGATAGCGATGCGCTCTTCACAACTCTTCGTCCTTGCTAGTGCTATAGCAACAGCAGCAGCAACCATCTTCCCCGAAAGCGCGACAACTATTGCCGGTGTATCGACAATACAGCATGTCTTCGTCGGCACTGAGAGCGGACTGTCACACACAGAGGATGTTACCATTCCCACCGTCTCAGCGTCTATAACACCGTCGTCAGGGTGGACGAGCTCAGAAGCGCAGACGGCAACGGAGAGCGGCTCTGACGACTCTTCTGCTTCCACCACCAGCGTTACGCGACCTGCCGGCTTTCCAAATGCAACCAGTAAGGAACTATTCTTGTCTTGTCGTGTCGGCCTTTCTCATGCTAACGTTGATGAAGCTACTTTGGCTAGCAGTCTGGTTCCTACAAAGTCGCAGAACACCACAACACCTACCAGCCATGTAACCGGTGGTGCTATTCCGCAACAGATGCAGAGCTCCATGGCTGGGCTGATAGGATTCTGCATTATGGGCTTGATCATGTTATAGAAGAGGGCGAGAAGGCTGTTATGAATAATGACGCTGGACGAGATGCGCGCCACATATAGATTTGTGTCCCAGGTAGGACACTGGCGTTGAAGAAAAAACCAACAAAGATACCACGGACCACAGAGTCCACCCACCTTTAGACGGACAGGAGTATATACCAATAATAGAGTAATTGTAATAGGCAATTTCACACACATTTATACACGCTCATGTAAGCGGTAGTCTTGCTGCATAGCACTTCATTTGTCAACTGTCTAGGTGACTGGCGAGGAAAGCCTTTCAAAAAAAGAAGCTGTAATGATTATGCTTATAAAGTCTGCCGAAATATATATTCGTGCTTGCAATAAAAAAATTTGAGGTCAGACTTCGAGTGGGATGACCGGCCACTGAGTCATCCAAAGACCATTTCGAAAAGCTCAGAGCCATGAACCGCAGATCGTATAAGCCGAAGTTTACCATATTGCTCATTGGGTCTATGTCTCTGAGCGGCCGACAATTGTTGGAAAAGAGCGTCCAAAAGATATGCATTCTTTCGCCAACAGGTGGAAAGCTTGAAGCGACGTCACGGCGTCTCAAAGGATCGTCGTCTAGTCTATGTTGTAGACGTTGCCGTGTTCGACGTGGGGTGGTCTGTCGATCTGAAGACCCTCGTTAGGGCGACTATAACAGCGCCGGAGACGGCTGGGCACTGATCTCGCTTCCCGTGGCAGAAGCATTCAACTCTTGCCTAAGATTTGCACTTTTGGCGATAGCTCTAAGCAGCGACGGGAATCTGGCCTCCAGAGTTGCCGGTAGGAGGAGGCTTGGGTAGGTCATCCTGGTATCACGTTAGCAGATTGCTCATCTTGAGAGAGGTTCTATTGCGTATTTCTAACAAGGTCGAAAATGACTCTGATCATCAAGCTGCAGCTCGGGCACACGGCAATATCTTGTTCGTCGCGCAGGTCGTCGATGCCAATCGAGAAGCGGTCGCCGCAAGGGCATGGGTAGTGATAGATTTGAAGAGCTTCGTCAAAGGTCATGTCTTCGATTTCGATCTCGTCGTAAATGGTGTATTCTTCGTCGGCCATCTTTGCGGTCTGCTGCAGAGTCGCCGATAATTACAGTATCTGTCGTGGCACTGGTCTGTCCTGGACTTTATCGTGATAATAATAAGTTTATCGGTTGACACTCGTCGCCACCCCGCGATAAAGAGCAAAAAGAAGAAAAAAGTTGAGACCCCACGAGTGTGGCTGATGCTTTTACTGCACTTCTGTGGCTGGTGTCTGCAATCACATGCCGGGGCTCTTCGCTTAGCTGGAGCTGTGGCGCGCGAGTCTGGGGAAGCAGTGCCGCATCTGCTCTTGCTAGGCCGAGGCCAGTGGACGCAACTCCACTCTCAGGCGCCTCGTCGTTATTTACAGGTACCGGCGTCACCTCTGCTCCGTAATACAGCTTTTGACATTTGATGTCATCACCAGGCTGGGAATCAAATCCCTGCTGTGACGGTTGAAGCAGAGACAGCAAGCTGCAGCCTGGATCACTCAGAGCATCGACCAGTCTACCACGACCTCAGAAAGCATAGCGACCGCACAAGCCTGAGCATAGCATTCCTCGCCCGCCATAACCGAGGCCGTGACACTTCGAGGCCGACCGATGCGCTGCACCCTCGACTCTAGGTGATACGCTGGGCACGAGCTCATCCTGGCCGGCGTCGACGAGAAAAAGAACAGCGCTCGACGCTGAATCTCCCCCGCAGCCATGGCCTGGCAGTCGAAACTCGCCCTGTCCAAGGACCGGTCTCTTCGCGGCATCATCTCCCACCTTACCGGGCTTTACGTCAAGCACCGAACGCGCATCTCGCGTGCCATCTGGATCTCCCTCTTTGTAGCCCTCGCCAATCGCATTCGCCATGCCATCTCGGAGCAAAAAGCCGCCTCTGCGCGCGAGGCCGCTCAACGGGCTGCTCGCCAGGCGACCGTAACCGCCGGGACCGAAGAAACACCCAGGAAGAAGGTCGCTCTTAACCGCGAGTTCTTCAGGTCTCTGATGCGTCTAAGCAAGATCGTGGTCCCCGGCTGGCGCAGCAAAGAGGCGAGGATGCTGGCCAGCCACAGCTTCTTCCTGGTCCTGAGGACTTTGATTAGCGTTCGGGTTGCGGAAATGGATGGAGCCATTGTCAAAGCCCTGGTCAAGGGAAACGGCAAGGAATTCTTGAAGCGCATCGTTTGGTGGATGCTGATTGCTGTCCCCGCAACCTTTACAAACTCGATGGTAATGGAGTACCTTTTTCTTGCCTGCTTTGCAATCAAAACCTGAGCTAACTGGAATTCTCTCTGCAGCTTTCCTACCATCAAGCCGAGCTCTCTCTGCAGTACCGGACGCGGCTAACACAGCATATACACGATAAATACTTATCCAAGTTGACCTTTTATGGTATCTCGGCACTCGATGATCGGATAAAGAATCCAGACCAACTGATCGCCGTCGATGTATCGAAATTCTCCAACAGCCTGGCAGAGCTGTACAGCAATCTTGCCAAACCAGCTCTCGACATGGTTTGTTCAGTCCTGTCTCCTAGTCTTATTGACTCTCAACGAGCGAGTGCATATGGCTAATACCTTTCCCCTTTGTCAGACCATCTACACATATACTTTATCCAAGAGCGTTGGAAGCGAGGGTGTCATCTTCATGACGCTGTTGGTTCAGCTCTCAGCAAACCTGATGCGCGTCTTGACGCCGCCCTTTGGCAAGTATGTCGCCGACGAAGCTCGCTTGGAGGGAGAATTCCGCTTCCAGCACTCTCGCTTGATTGACTACAGTGAAGAAATCGCCCTGTATGGCGGTCATACCGCAGAAAAGGACACATTGGACAAGGGTTACTTTACTCTTATCAAGCACGTGAATTACATCCTTCGACGCCGCTTCTACCATGGTTTTATGGAAGATTTCGTCATCAAATATTTCTGGGGTGCTTTGGGTCTGCTGCTTTGCAGTGTTCCCGTCTTTGTCAAGCTTCCCGGCCAGATTGTCATGAACGTGGGAGATAGAACAGAGGCTTTCGTGACGAACCGCCGTATGCTCCTCTCTGCATCTGATGCCTTTGGCAGAATCATGTTCTCGTACCGAGAAATCATGGAGCTGGCTGGATATACCTCCAGAGTTGCCACCCTACTCAACGTCATGGATGACATTCAGATGGGCCACTTCGAGAAGAAGCTCGTCTCTTCTTCTGGGACAGAGGATAATGAGGCTGTGCTCAAGGGCCGCGGTACGGTCCATGAAAGCAAGGATTATATCAAATTTGAGGATGTGTAAGTCTGAAATTTTTTGCCTCTTACGTTGACTGTAGAGACTGACAGAATGTACAACAGGCCTATCATCTCGCCTAACGGCGATGTTCTCGTCAAGGCGCTCTCATTCTCCCTCTCTCATGGCGACCACCTACTCGTCGTTGGGCCTAATGGCTGCGGCAAGTCATCATTGTTCCGTATCCTTGGAGGCTTATGGCCTGTCTATGGAGGAACTGTTTACAAACCCCCCTTTACCTCCATCTTCTATCTTCCCCAGCGTCCCTACCTGTCCCGTGGCTCCCTTCGTCAGCAGGTTATCTATCCCGACTCCTTACGCCAGATGCGTTCCAAGGGTGTCAACGATTCCGACCTTTACTCCATTCTCAACACCCTTGGCCTGGAGCATCTCGTCGAACTCTACCCCGAAGGCTGGGATGCCGAGGCGGAGTGGCGCGATGTTCTTTCCGGCGGTCTCCAGCAGCGTGTCGCCATGGCGCGCCTGTTCTACCACAAACCGCAGTACGCCATCCTCGACGAGTGCACGAGCAGCGTGACGCTCGAAACCGAAAAGGTCATGTACGAGAATGCAAAGTCTCTCGGCATCACGCTCCTGACTGTCAGCCACCGTCGCAGCTTGTGGAAATACCACACGCATATCCTGCAATTCGACGGCCAGGGCAACTATGTCTTTACGAAGCTCGATGCCGAGAGGCGTCTGAGACTGGAGGATGAGAAGGAGGAGCTGGAAATGAAGTTGAGGCAGGTACCTGAGATGGAGAGGAGATTGGAGGAGCTGACTTCTCTTTAAAGCGTGAGATTTCCCCCCTTTTTGATTTGATGTTGGCTATACCATACAATATGTGCTATCTTTGAAGGAGGGATGTTTGCTATAACCTATATACGTGAGATGTGTGTATGACTAGATATTCGTGCAAGCAGACTGTTGGGGCCATTTATACAATTGAAGCCTGTTTTTGCTCCATAATGCGCAATGAATGCTGTCTAATCCTTGGCATCGACAGACACAATGCAGCAGATATGATATGTAATCTTTAACTGATGGGGGTATAGATTTCTACTTGCTGTATCGAAGATTTAACAAACAAATGCTAATAACCAACTCCAACAAAACAATGCTGCCATCCATTGTGCCTTCTTCTTCACCATCAGATTTCAAGCAATGCCAAGCACGTATATATTGACAAGGCATCAAGCTCCTCCATTTTGACAACTACTTTGCTTCATCATTTCCATCGCTCTCCTTGCCTTCAATACCATCCAAGTCTTCTAGTTGGTTTGGATGAAATTTACAGTCATCTTTATGGATCGAATTATCCTTCTCGAGAATACGCTTATGGTCAGCGCCGCATTCATAGCAAAATTGATGTTTGCATTTGGCGCCTAGGATGTCAACCAGTCAGTTACCAGCAATCTATCCCTGGCAGTAGATGCTATGGGTATTGCTCCAAATGGAGGTACAGCCCCAGCAAAACTCGAAACGACACTTGATGCCTGCGGTGACCTTTGATTAGTGGGTTTCTCCTTCAGATGTTTATGTAGCAGGTTTTGATTAGAATGAGAGAAAAGGTGGTGAGCTTCGATACCGAGGGGTGTGAGTGTTGCAAGTACGCACCCTGAGATTTGAAACAAAGGAAAAGAAAAAAAAAAGAGGGGAAAAGAAGAGGATGAGAAAATCAAGGGGCACCACTTACAAGTCATGTGTGAGCTGTATCAAAAAGTTAGCAACCTGTCTTTCTTTTCATTTCCCTATGCAAACGGCCAGGTTTGAATCAGTGTACGTACCATCCATCATTCTTTTCAATCGCCCATCCGCATCCAGGGCATGGCTTTGTCGTCCTTCCGACTGTTTCTTTGCTCATTTCTTCTTCAGCCTTTCTTCTTGCGGCAATCTGTCTCGCCAACTCGATTGCTTTCTGTGTCCTCTCCCTTTCTTCGCGATCTCTCCTCTCCCTCATTTCTCTGGTCCTTCTTTCTTCTTCCAACAGGCCTTGCGCCATAGCTCTGTCTGCTTCAAGCTGCTCTCTTTGCGAAACTGCCCACGCTTCATTATCAATTTCAAGCTTGGAACGGAAGTTGTCCGGGTCGGCAAGCAACTGATCGTACTCTTCGCACGTCAAACCCTGGTGCCAGGCGACGTTGTGATGAAAACAGGATCGGTGGCTACAGTGAAGGCAAATGACAATGGGGTGGTCGTGGCCGGTGTCATGTATTTGACCAGAGCCGCAGCCAGATGTGCACCAAAAGAAGTTTTCAGCTTCAGCCATGGCAGCGCGGAGGGCAAGCGTTTCATATCTCCGGGTGCATTAGACCAAATTTGCTCCATTGTTGAAGAGAGGTGGAAGTTCAAGTATCACATACCTCTTAAATGTCTCTTCATCAGCGTAACGCTGGATGTCTGTATATTCTAGCAGTTGTCGACACTCAGGGCATCTAATATCTGTCCAAATCTTGCCTATCAGATCAGATCGGATAGATCTTTCCAGACACTCGAGGCATGTATTTGGGGAATGTGTGCAAGACGCCGTTGGAGAGAACCGAGGAAAGAGGATTTCCTCTTTGGTGTCAGCACAAATCAGGCAATCTCGGTCACCATCGTTCTCACGATCTGACGGAATGCGTTGATGCGTAACTAGCACAGACGATGTTCCTGGATCGCTCTGGTATCGTTGCCCGAAACTAATAGATAGTAGTAACATCAGCAGACTGGACTCATAAATCTGGAACAGTTGAGTTGAGTTGAAGATAAATGGTCGAAAAAAGAAATGCATGTGAGTGAACTAGGGCAACATGCGAGAATCGAGAAGAAGGCTCGGGCAATATTACAAGATAGCATCGTCGTGAAAATATCCCCTTTGTACTCATCTGTAGCGCAAAGGGGTTGGACGTAGGGAAAGCCGTCGAAAAAGGCTATATTTCAGGAAACCTACCTGAAATCATCAGCTTCATTATCTCCACGCCTGCCAGACAGATCTAGACGGCGTTGATATGCTTCCGTCATGGCAGAATCTTGCTGCTCGAGGAGTTCGACATACGGATTGCCTATGGCAGGAGTAGAGGAGCCGCTAGAAGCAGTCACATTCCTTCCTCTGCGATTTGTGGTAGGAACTGAATGATTGTCTTCTTCCGGGGTCGTAAAGTCATCATCCAATAAAGCAAGGTTGATGCGATATCTGAACCCGGTTTGTGCATCAGCTACTGGAGCTGTTTCGGGCTCGCTGTGTACTGAGGGAGGTTGAGATTGATTCGTTCTTGGCAACGAGACGCTTGTGCTGGCTTCTTCCTCTTCTGCCTCCACCCCTTCCTCCTCCTCCTCCTCCTCTTCTTCTTCTTCTTCCTCATCCTCTTCTTCTTCTTCCACCATCTCTTCCTCTTCTTCCCTTTCTTCTTCCTCTCCCTCTTCTTCCTCCATTTCATATTCTTCGTTTCCTTCTTCTTCGTAGTCTTCTTCTTCTAGTTGCACTACTTCCTCTCCTTCATCATCCGCCTCAGGCGTCTGTGCACCTTCAGCTTCCGGATCTGTCTCTTCATCATCCACCAGCCAGATCGAATCGTCGTCTTCATCCCCGAAGCCGCTCATGATCGCGGGATTAACCATGCCGTAATGTGAAGAGGCAGGATATACGAACATGTTGTTCCTCATTGCTGATGTCTCCACGAAGGGGACAAATTTCTTTGGTGTATAGGAATCCATTTTGGGCTCCTGTTCAGCAGCTTCGGTTTCTCCTTGCGCGGGCGCTTCAATTGGGATCTCTTCTAGCGCCACAGCTGGTATGTCAAGAATGGGTGAATTGACTGCTGGTGTAATAACCACGGGTATATCAACCGCCGGTGAATCAACTGCTGGTACATGAACAGCAGTAGTGTGTAAAGCAGACGGGTCAGTGACAGTGACAACAATATCAACAACAGTGTTATTGCTTTCTTGCACCTCCGACAGCTGCTCTTGGGCTTGTTTTCGCTCCTCTTCCACCAACGCTGCAGTATGAAACCCAGTATCAATCGTCGCCTCTGACTGTTCTTCCGTAGCAATCGAAGGTGGGTATGAATCGTCTGGAAGCGGCCAGCTAATGCTGGGAACCGAAGCCACTGAGGAAACGGAGCTCTTGTCCTTTCGCTTGCGAAAAACAGCTCCCGTCTTCTTCCTGAGGGAGCGAAACATGCTCATATCGAAAGGTGTGAGTGTGCGAGAGTGCGAGAGCAGGTCTGTAATTCCGGTTTTACCCCCCTTTGGGCCGGCTCATATGGCGGACATGTGCTGCAGGGGGACTGGAGGAATGTGGCTGCTGGGCGCTTATACTGGCGATGGTACACGGAATCGATCTAAAGGTGTTGGAGAGAAGACGTGAGGATATTAATGTTGGTGAATATGGCGGAAGAGAAAGTTGAACAGATTCAAAAAAAAAAAAAATTGGAAGAAGGGAACGTTGAAAGAAGAAAAGAAGAAGCACATGCACAATTCTGATTTGCAGCGGTACGAAGGAACAAAGGACGGAAGGGATGAGAAACATGGAGGCTGCAGGTCGGGTCGTTTGGCGGAGCTCGTCGCAGCCGCTTCCAGGTGCCTCTGCCGCTGCCTCAGTGGGCAAACCAGCTGAGGCCGGTAAACGCCTCGCGATACACAGCGGAGACGGGCAAGCCCCAGCACTTTGAATGGGCCTAGCTGCCTGCTATAGCGCTTCCCCAGGGCCGCCAGCAGTGCCAGCAGTGCATTTCGCCAGCGGGCTGCGCCAAAGCGGCCTAGTGCGTGCCGCCACCAGTGAGTGGCCTGCGCCTTGGACAGCACGGCGTGAAGCTTCCAGTGTGCCTTGCTACGTACAGGGGGTCGGTGCGATGGAGTGTGCCTAAGACACTGAGAGCCAACTCTAGAACTTCTTCATCGAACTAGGCACACCCTCCCCAGCCCACGGCAGAAGCATCGCAGGGCTGTCGCGAATCAGATGATTTGTGCTGTGGATGCGAGCCGTATTCAACGTGGCAAGTCGAGCACCATCCAGCGGTGGACAGTGGGAACACCAAGAACCCGGAATACATGTACCTACACATAAGGTAGTAGTAAGCCGTGATATCAGCTATAATCTACATGTATCCAAATCAGATCAATACATGCATGTAGCTCGTCAGCTGTCCTAGCAACATATGCTAAACGTTTGATTTGATAGGAGGTGTGAAAAGATGCAGTAAACCTAGAAAATTACCGAGGAAAAGGGAATGGAAGAATAGCAGACAGGGTGAGTCAGTCAATGAGGGAGAGGTGACCCTGCAAACGCCCCAAGGATCGCCTCCCACACGTGTACAATATATGATTTTAACAGCATCCATGTTAATAAATCAATCAATCATTTGTTCCAAATTCATTTAGTCCCATGTGTTAGCAACTCCAACGTAAACAAATGTATCGCATCCCATCAGCTTAGCCAGCCCTCTCCTTTCTTCCGTGCCTTTGAGAGGCAGAGCATATGGACCAGCGACTCGTCGCCCTCCTCGATGAACTTCTCCTTCTTGTCATCAGAACCCCAGGCCACCAACATCTGCTGCTTGCGTACAATCGACGGCGCCTTGATGGCATCGCGCTGGCCGATCTGGCGGATGTACAGGGCAGGGACCACGGTACACACGTTGAGCAGATTGGTATAGATGTCGGCCTTTGTAGGCCGGGGGTCCATCTTGTTCATGTTGAAGGCCTTTCTGTTATGCAGGATGTTTCTGCAATCAAGATCCTCGACGCACTCGTGGAATTCTTGTGAAGGGGCAATGCGGCTGCCGCTCCATGAAATGTAGGGCTGGATATCGAGATAGAAGTGGTGTGTGGCCACCTGAAGCTTTTCGTAGAGCGCCATGGCGGGCTTGATGCAGCGCTCTTCCGTATTCTGATAAAACCAGGCGTGTTTGTCCTTTTTGCAAAAAATGCGAAGCACTTCTGCCAAGCCTATAGTCAGATCTCTGGCCCGCCGAACACGAATAGCCCTGAACTGCGGAGCGCTCATCAAAGCATTATAACTCTCGGCGGTCCATGTGCGAACAGCAAACAAGTCTAGTTTGAATCATTGGTGTTAGATTAGCTTCGTCATGAGTTTTTGGAGATGAAAAGGCACGTTACCTCTCTTGGGCTCAACGGCGGTCTGCATCTGTGTCTCGATAAAGCTCACCATATCGGTGTAGTTCGACGCAGAGCCGTAGAGGACTTTTTGGAAGATGTGATCGTTGAGAAACCGCATAATAACAGCGACGATGATGTCTTCATCAGTCTCTGGAAACATGCAGCCGTGTATTAGATCGGGATACTTGTGCACAACCTTCTTAAACTTTGCAACTTCTCCAGCATTCTTCCGTGCGTGGGAGACGAGAGCCTCGGCGCCAGTCTCATAGTCATCTAGCCAAAAACCCATGAATTTTTGAACCCAGTCTTGAACTGACTCGACCAGATCATCATATTGCTGGATTGTAAATATTTGTATATATTAGCAATCATTGTAATAGGCACCAAACACCGCCCCCGCTCAAGACATAGAACAACTTACCCGCCCTACTTCCTCTGGGGTGAGGTCCTTGCGATACGGCTGCAGGCTGAAGATGTGCGACTGCGCGTCGTTGAGCTCTTCTCTCAAGAGACCGTTCTCTTCTTTGAGCCTCTTCATATCTGCGCCAAGAGACTCCGTGCCCTTAGCGATTTCCTCCATATCAGAATTGAGCAGATGCTTCAAGTCTTCAATTTCCTGTCTGGCATTGGTCGCTTCTCTCTCAGCAGCCTCCTTTTCGAGGGTGAGTCTGGTGATGGCATCCTGGAGCTGTCTGAGTTGCGCCTGTTCTCTCAGCTCATCTCGCGCTCCATCGCCATCGGAAAGGCGTCGCCGAGGCATGAAATCCTCGCTGTCCATGCCAGAGAATCCCTCAGCTGCTGCGTACATCGAACTCGTCATTTCAGCCAATTCAAAGTCGTCGTCGTCGGAATGAGCTCCGTCGGGAAATGGAACTGGCACGTTCAGGTTATATCTCCTCGCAGGAACAAGCTCTGGAGAAACGGAGGTCTCGGTGACTTCGTCTTTTGCAAAGTCGGCGGCATCCACTTCGACGGGCGCCTCTTCATGCTGCTCTCCGTCCAACATGGCCTGGTCGTCATTCACATCCGCCTCTTTCTTGTGATCTTGGACCTTTGCCTCGGTCTCAGCCTTATCAACGGTTTTAGTCTGTTTCTTGCGCAGCACTGCGTGGCTGTTGGGTTGGCGGGCTCGCATGTCATCGAGGGGAATTGTTCCTTGGCCTTTGTCGGGAGACATGGTGAGATGCAGCGTAAAAGAGGGCATGTACAAAGCACTACTGCTCAATACCCCAAGTTGAATCACAAAGAACAGCGAGAGGGAACCAGAATACGTCCAAACCGGCCGCAAAGAGGTGTCTGGGTTTCATGCAAATATGAGAATATCAAAAAGCTCTAAAGTCAATGTCGGATCTGCTCTGCCAGCCTGAACCAGAGCCTTGAGCCTGTGATTGTGGCGCTGGCAGCGTCAATATCCACTCGCTGAATGGCACGGCTCACAGCCTGGGGCTGAAGCGGGAGTCGTTTCCACGGCGGACGCATCTGGCCTTGCCATTGCTACTTGTACAAGCAGGGCACTGACATGGCACGGCATGGCCTGGAGACAAACGATTGTCAATTCCACGCCCCCTCCCTCACGATGATGCTGCTGGGGTCTGTAACTAGTGGATTCAGCCTCAGTAGCTTGCCGTGGCAGAAAGAGGGGAGCCTGTTCACGGCCCGTTTCGGAGGCTTTTGGCTTTGGCTTTGGCTTTGGCTTTGTTGGCTTTTGAATTTGAATTTGGCTTTCAAAGTACATGTACTGCTGCTGCAAGTCGCTCTTATCGGTGGTTTAATGTCCGGCAGATTGGTATTAAATTCTTCTTGTTCAGCCAGGCCAGGCACATGTAGCAGTATAACAAATGGCTATCTGGAGAAGCAGAGGCATCTCGATGCAAGACGGCAGGCTCTAGTGGGGTTTTAAAGAGGCACATGTATGCTTATTTCCAAGTGGCCAAGATGTAGAGCGACATATTTGGGCAGCAAATCCGTACACTCAGCAGGTATCTCTATCAGGTAGCTGATTTTGTGTAAACCGTACCTACAGTAACAGCTCAGAATCGCCTGGTTGAGTGTACTTGGCACGCCGTATCTGGAAACCTATCTGAGCTTTTTCACAGCCTCATAGGAATAGGCGCTGTTCTGCGCTGCACTGCTATTAGTATTTTCGCCCCATTTCAAGTGATGTTCAATGTTACATGTACTTCGATACTGTTTCTTCCAATTCGTAGGCGCTACAAGTAGTGGTGAGTAATTCGTACCAACACAGCGTTCCAGGCGCTTCTTCACACTGGTTGGTCTATCATTTGAGAGTTTTCAACTTGTCTTTCGGCCCCCATTCAATTCAATCGCCAGGCCCGTCCGTGACCGATAGCGGTTATCGACCTGTCAGGCCATTCTGCGGAGTGCTATATTTACTATATTTACCTTAAAAGAGCTGGAGCTCGTAGCTCGAGCTCGAGCCCACTAAATGCTCCGCCGCAGCCACTGACAACACCATTCCAGGCACCCTGCAGCGCTTCGTCCAGTGAATGGCCTCACTGGACGGCGCTATCTCGCGGGCTAGCGGCCACTATCTGCAAGCCCCTCACTTTCCGTCTACAAGCACACACCCCTCCATCCCCGCTTCAACACTACAACTTGAATCCTCCTTGCTTCAGAACAAGGCAGACTCTCGCCTCACTTTGTCTGATTCGCGCCATGCCAGCACGTCTTTTGGCGCCACGCAGATCCAGAGGCTGGCCGCGAGCCAGTGCCGCTCCAGCGTCTGCGGCGTGACGAGACTTTGCCAGGCATCAGCCCCGCCCAGCTGAAAGTCTGTCTGCCAATGCACCAAGCCAGGCCTCTTGTTTGTTCAGGTCGCACAAGAGGGCCATGGAGCAGCCCTTCTGAACAGTCCTGGAACGCGGCTTTTCGCTTCCGGCTTAACTTTGACCATCACCTAGCAGTGACTGTCCGCAACTGCGCCCCATTGAAGACGCCTGTTGCTTCTTTTTTTCGACATCATCTTCACTTATATGTTAGATGCTTTCTTCCTTCGTGGCCCAAAACTGTGTCTTTTTCCAACCCAACATTGACCTCTCTAGTCCTCCAACCGATTGGCGCTCGGTAGAGATAGTTATAGTGGCCCAGCTGGCCAGCTTATCGTGATCCCAACAACTCCCATCCGTCCCTCTTTGAGCACTTTCCTTCGCCTTCTCTTCCATCCTATACGCCGCCATCATCGCGACTAGCATGGATTTTGATAAGCTCTCAATCACTGATCGCAAGATCATAGTCGGCATTGATTTTGGCACCACCTATTCCGGCGTCGCTTGGGCAGAGACACAGCGCCCAGACAGACGGACAGCCATCACCACATGGCCCATCAACAAGACAACCCGTGAGGGCGAGTCTTCAGACAAAGTACCTACTAAGCTTCGTTATGCCCCGGATGGTACTCAATGGGGTTTCTCCATCCCCATAACCGCTCCTCAGGATGAAGTGATCGAGTGGTTCAAGCTGTAAGTTATCATCGTCCCATCCAATACATGATCAGCCCTTATCACATGGAATAAACTGACCGATGTTGTGCAATAGCGACTTGGATCCATCTCTGAAAAACATTGGTCAGGCTGTTGCCAATGATGGTGCGCGCGGGGGCAGAGATGCCGAGAAGCTTGTCGCTGACTATCTGAACGCTCTCACCGAGCATCTCCTCTACACTCTGCGCGAGAAGCTCGGCGAGAGCGTCGTCAAGAGCACTCCGCTCGAGTTTGTCGTCACCGTACCAGCCATCTGGAGCGATCTTGCCAAGGACAAAACCAAAAAAGCATGTCAACAGGCCATTCAAACCCTCCCATTGGCAGCCGGCTCGTCCAAGACCAATATCCACCTTGTCTCCGAGCCCGAAGCTGCTGCCATCTACGCCCTTCATGGACTGGATCCTCATGGTCTCAAGGTTGGCGAGACTGTGGTTATTGTTGATGCCGGCGGTGGCACGGTGGATCTCATCTCTTACACCATTACCGGGCTGAGACCCATTCTTCAGGTACAAGAGGCTGCCCCTGGCTCTGGCGCTCTTTGCGGCTCGACCTTCCTCAACATGCGGTTCGCCAAATTCCTCAAGGCCAAGCTGGGCAAGGAAGATGGTTTCGACGACGAAATACTCGCCGAGGCCATGGAGGTCTTTGAAAAGAAGGTCAAGCGTCAGTTTACCCTTGCCGCCCCTCCAGATGAGACGTACACCATCCCCGTTGGCGGCTTAGCCAACAACAAGGCCCTCGGAATCAACCGCGGACGATATGCGCTCAAAGCCTCTGACCTGAACACGATATTTGAGCCTGTCGTCCTCGAGGTCATCAAGCTAGTCAAAGATCAGATCACTGTTAGCAACGTGCCTATCCGCGCTGTGCTTTTGGTTGGTGGTTTTGGCGCCTCCAACTATCTTAAGGAGCGCCTGAGAAATGCTGTGGACAAATCCATCCAGATCATGCAGCCTCCGAATGCCTGGCAAGCCGTTGTTCAAGGTGCCGTGATGAAGGGTCTCGCTAACAGTGCACCCGAGTCTCTCACCTTAGTCAAGGTGCAGAACCGCAAGGCGAGGAAGCATTATGGCACGGAATGGCGCACCAAGTTCGACGACAGGGTTCATGCTCACATAGCTGACAAGAAGAGCTGGAGCGGCATGGAGGGCTATTATAAGGTAAACGCTATGGAGTGGTTCATCCGCAAGGTACGTTATCTTGACTTTTTTCTCTCTGTCTCATCTACCCATTCTTCCTTCTGCTGCTACTGTAACTTTATGCCACCAGCTAACACGATAACCAGGGAGATGCCGTCTCCGAGAATGAGCCTTACATCACATCCTTTGTCTGGACAGGCCTCGTGGCACACGGCCGTATCCGCAAGATGCGTATGACCATCTACTGCGACCAAACCTCCGAAGAAGCCCCTATCGACAGAAACGCAAATGTTCAAGTCTTGGCTCATGTCGAGGCCGATGTGAGCCACATCCCCGAGCATCTGCTCAATCGTCGACAAGGCAAAGATGGCCAGATGTACTATGACCTCAACTGCAAAATCGAGGCGGTGTATCTCTCTGCCTCGACTACGTACACGCTCTTATACAACAGTATGTGATTTTCTTTGATTCCACGTCCATTTCAGATACTACTGAATAATCTGGCTGACTCTGAGATATAGACCAGCGATACGATACAGTTACTTGCGAATATGTCTAAGCTATTTGGCTAGAATAGAGCAGCTTTTTTTTTTTCTCCTTTTAACGATATCATATGTGCTTCTTTGTTTTTTAAGGGAGGGGTGTTTAAGGATCCTTCGTGATTATTTAGCAAGACAGTCTGTACATAGAACGATCCCCAGTAAGACGGGACGAGATGACCATCTGTAACACTCGGCAGGTGTCCAAATTTGATTTCCTAGTACAAGGATAAAATTATATTCAATGCACGCGATGTGTCTACACTATCGCAAGGGGAAAAAAAATAACAACTTTATATGCTCCTCACTCCCTCCTGTCTTTTCTTTCCACTAGATACAAATACAGAGAGCGAGCAAAAGCTGAGCTAACATACAACAAACAGAGATATCATCAAGATCTAAAAAAAAAAAAAAAAAAAAAAAAAAAAAAAAAAAAAAAAAAAAAAAAAAAAAAAAAAAAAAAAAAAAAAAAAAAAAAAAAATTATANNNNCGTTGAACATGATTTAGGTTAATTAAATATAAAAATCAAAATCATTTTATTTAAATAATAATATATAAAAAAAAACATTATTTCCTACATACATTATTTTTTTTTTATATTTTTTTTTTTAAAAAAAAAAAAAAAAAAAAAAAAAAATAAAAAAAAAAAAAAAAAAAAAAAAAAAAAAAAAAAAAAAAAAGGAAAGCTAGTAACACAGAAAGACCGTTTTAGAAGAAACTAAGCAAAGCCAATGTAGCCAAGTTTGCCGAGAAAAAAAAATCCAATGCCGAGAGATATATGAAAGAACCACAAAGAAGACGTTTGTAAGGAAAGATGTGGTGGCGGCGGGCCAATTCGCAAAGCGGCCAAAGGCGGTGGTATCCAGAACACCAAGGGCCATATATATATATATATATATATATATATATATATACTAGGAAATCAAAGAGCAGGAAACTTTTTCTGAAAACAAAGCAGTATTAAAAGAGAGAGAGATGTGTGTGTGTGTGTGTATAGCCAGATGGCGGAGGGCGGCGAAAATTCA